TATAGAGATGTGTAATTGAATTAATTAAATAGATACAATGAGAACTCGAGGAAGTTAAATTGAATACTTTAGAACAAATCGATCGAACACTACAATAGTAATGAATCTTGATTGGCGGATTAAAGGGGATCCATAAGTAAAACTGTAAGTCCTAGCATCTACATTCATACTTTTAAAATCCAAATTCGATAAATTGTGTATATTAGATTAATTTAATTTAGTTAAAATAATTTAAACACCAATCATAAACCTTATTATTTGTTTTCGATCAAATTAAAGTTATGAATAATTTAACCAATTATTAGATAGTAGTCATTGTGGGAACAATACCTAGACTCATTGGTCTACTATATTACTTGTTAGGATCCGTACACTAGCGGGATATAAAAATCGACAACACTCCCAACATTCAACCTCATCCACCTCGAAAGTGGCAGAACAAAGACGTGATGCTGTTTAACGTGCCTAGAAATAGGAAACAAAGCTCAACACCTACAATTAGACGAGAAATAAGGATTGTTGAGGTTGCTGCAAAGGAAGTGCGCCACTAGATTCCAGTAACCTCTTCCTACGCCTTCACCATTTCCTATATCTACTTATAACCAACTAGTGGATTTAATTAAAGAGGATATTGAAGTAGATATGGTTCGCCTCCACAACTTGAGGAGAACAGAGGCCCCGGCGGTTAAAATAAACCTATATAACCATTAGGCCAAGTCGTTTTGCATGTAATGTAATTTGGATGTTCCTTCTCGACATGTAAGCATTTGCAAAGCCTCATATCTATGTTATTTTACAACTTAAGACGAGCCACCTGTTGTAATATTTAAGTGGATAAACTACTAGAAAACAAGGAAAATAATTCGTTAACTGCAGTAAAATAACAAAATAAGAAATAAAAATTGCAACAAGAAAAAGTTCCCAAACCAAGGCCTGTGCGAACACAGTTTTCTCACAACATATTCGCCCCCTCACCGTTCGTGCTTGAGGTATAATTTGAGCATCTGCTTCTCACGATACAACGGTTAACCAGTAAAATC